GGGGGGCACGAACCCCCTAACGGCCGCAGTGGTGGGGGGGCGTTGCCTGGGGCAAAAGTTTAGGTTTTATAAAAGCCTTTGGTAAAACTGAGGGCGGGCAGGGGAACTTGCTGCGTGGAGCCGCGTGCCTTGCAAGTCCCTGTCTGTCACTGCCGTTTCTTGCAAGTTAAAAGGCGAAGCCAGCTCTGGGATTTTTTCAAAATAAAAGTGAAGCTGTCCGTCTTGAAGAGTAAGACAACGCACGTAAATAGTGAAAAACAACCAGTGCGCGTATAACGTGAGGCTACAAAATGAAGAATAGCTGTATCCCTTCCAAGGATTGCTCTCCTTTTAACCAAACCTTTCTAAACTTCAGCTTGAAATGATCAACTGAGAAAAATTATATGTATATGCACATATATGTGTGTGTGTGTATGTATATGTGTGTAGAATATAAAGTATGAAGTCATGTTTGGTTCACTTCTAGAAGACATCTAATCTTACTGTTTATCTAGAGAAGCAAAAAGTGATATTGGGAAGATTAAAATAGAGTGCTTGAGGGGGGAGTGGGGGTTTTTTGTTCCTATTTATTGAAATGGTGTTTTTTTGTTTGTGTTTTTATTTTTCAGGAAAAAAACCTGTTTTATTTCAAATGGGACTGTAGAAGGATCTTACCCCACCAAAGAGTGGGAAGATGAGATCTTGCTCAAAATTTAGAATCAAGTTCTTCCAGCTTTTGTTTTTCAGGTGGGGAAGGAGAGAAGGGGAAACACTTGTTCTGTGTGATTTGTTTAAAAACCAAAATGCTAGAGAGTTCTTGATTTGTAATCTTTCCCTCTTCTCAAATGACATTCATTCTGCAGAGCCCGTACGCTTTCGCTTTCTGCTGAAGGCAGATGCTGTAGGTTCTGCTCCGCTATTGGAAGTGCGATTCCAGCGTCGCTTAAAGCTGACCAAAGTGAGAGCTGCGGCTGAGAGGGCTCACTCCCTTTCATCCTCTACAGCAGTTGATGCAGCCATGGCATCAGCTGGATTTGAGAACTAAAAAAACATGCTGTTTACAAGCAGATCGATTTCATGCTTGTGGCGTGGTCATATGAAAGCTAGCGCCAACTCACGAGAGAGGGCAGGAGCAGGGCATTCAAGAGGATGGGACTGCCCTTAATAGCTGTGCAGATTTTATATAGGAGCAAAGTGATAGCTTCGTGTATCTATGGTCTGAGAAATTTTGTCAGGCTCTTTTTCTCATAGCATTTGAATACTTCACAACTGTATCATTTTCAGGTATTAGTAATTCTTTTTGTCAGTCTTTTCTCTCACATATTCGTCTTTTTGCAGCTTCCTGTCCTTTTCTTTGATTTTTTTTCCTTGTGTGTGTACAAGTCACAACAGCACCCAAGAATCGCTCTGTTAAAACAAGCCAATAATTATATTCCTTAACCTTCAGCAGCTTCAGGTTTATTCTCTCATTTCTGGTATTTTTTAGTGTAGGAGAAATATATCTTCCCCAAACTGGAAGTTGGTTTTCCAAGGGCGTCCTTTAAAATCCAGCTCTTTGTAGGAAAAGAAACTGCTTTTTGATGAAGAATTAGTCCCAGCCTAGCTGCTAGACTCTGGAGATGGCCCCCCACTAATCCATAACTTGTAGTATGTAAGGTTTATTGATCGCTATAAGCTGGCCTGTGTGTAGTAGGACACTGAAAGCGTTGGCTTTTTTGTTCACCCGATGGTTCGTCTTTGTCTTCTCCCTTGCACCTGCATGGAGGTGTGTATGGTTTTTTTGGAGCCCTTTCTGGGAAATAACAGAGTTGAGAATTAATCTTTTTTTGATAAGCTAGTTTTCAGGTAGACTGGTTCTTTTCTTTGCTTCACTTTGCAGTCACTCCAGTGCTTATGCCATCATAAGAGGTGTGGTAGGAGTTGGAAGCTGGTGGGGAAGATGCAAGGGGATCTCGCCTTTCAGGGAGAGCACAAACTTGCATTTGATTTGAATAGCCACGTCATGTCAGCTTTACAGCACAGCAAATATATGGCAAGTTATTCTTTTCAGAGCTAACTTTGCCATAATTTTTCTGGGTAGGCAAACTCTTGGGTCAGTGTTTCCCAACTGTTTTTCCTGTATACTTTTCCAAGTGATTTCTATCATTCATCTTTTGTCAGGCTGTATTAGCTAGGTGCTGCTCTTGTTTGTAATGCTTTTTTTGAAACTTCATGTCCTTACTGAGCATCTGCTGTGACCTGTGCCTTTTCCATATGTGCTGTCCCTCCCTGGGAGAGTTTTGCTCCACATCTGGGAAATAGTGCACTGTGAAGAAGATAGAAACGTGGAGAAAAGGTAGAGAAGATACAAGAAAGAAGAATAAAATGATTGAACTGTGTATTGACAGTTTTTGACTTGTCTTTTTGTCTAAGCAAGTTTTTAATGTGTGTGGATGGTAGAGCTTTAGATCAGTGTTAGCATTCAGTTGTTTTTACAGGCCACACAATTTTCAGGATATTTTCCTGTTTCAGATTCAGGTAGTAAAATGCAGTGATACACTTGGATCAGTCAGATGTTGTAGCTCTTTCACAATTAAAACTACGATGTTATTCTTTTGTTTATTAACTTTATAGTTTGTGAGAAGAGCAGTTAACCTTGCTCAGCATAATGTATGAAGCTCACTTTACCTGTAGCTGCAAGAAGTGAATTTGTGACTCCAGTGGATGGATGAGGTTTGAGGATTTCTCTGCATGGGATGGTTAGACCAACAAAAAGTGGTTTGTGGGTTTGCAGGTCTGGTTCCCTTCGTAGCTGCTCGCATAAATACTTGCTCTGGAATAAGCTGCTGACAGCTAGCAACGATTGTTCTGATCACTTTGCTGAACTGTTGTTTCTTGTGCCATCTGTTCTGAGAATCTGGGTAACCCTCAGTCCCTAAGTCTCTTAGGGACAGTGTTTTGTGTTCGTTTGCGCTGAGGAAAAGTGGGAGGCAAGGATATTATGTGGAATGGGAGAATGATGCATCTCTACCCGTTCCAATTATTGAGTGTATGACTGTTGGCATGGCATTCGTTCTCTCCGAGCTGGGGCTGTGGATTTTCAGAATACTAACGTGTGAAGGTGTGTGTGCATATCCTACATAGTATCTTCAAGTAGCTGCTTGTTCTCAGATTTCCTAGGGCTTTAAACCAGAGTAGTGCCTCCTCGAGCAGGAACGTTGTTAATTGACTTTTATCCCTTTCCAAAAATGATTTTGCATCTTGTATGTGGGCAACTGATGCCAGGCAATTTACTTTATCCCCTTTTTACCAAAGTAGGGAGCTCACAAAGGTGAGTGGTTTGTTCTTTCACTTACAGTCTGTATCGTAACTAGCTGTGTGGTCAAAGTCTTTCGTTCATCAAATCCCCCTTTTCCTTCATTACATCATTATTCACGTGTGTGCATAAACATCCATTCCAGCAATGAAATTAGACTGTGGAAACAGCCGTTCTGTCTGATATATTTGTGACCGTACTGGCATGGTACCTCATGACTCGGTTCCAGCTAACATCCCATGAGACAAAGTTTAGTTGTGATGTTTTGAAGTGGTGTTCTGCTGATCAAATAGATGCAAATATAGTTTTTGACAAAATAAAATAAATGTGTTGTCACTATATTGTAAACGGTTATTTTGATTTTTTGTCTAACAAGCTTGTCTAGCTGTTTTTGGATAATGCTTTAAAGGTCTGCGTATATAAAAGGAATCACAGCTTCAATAGCAAATATATTTGCAATCTGTAGCAATTAAGTGGAGTTTTGTCTACGAGCACAGCGCTTACCTTTTCCGTCACGTTTGTAAGCATTTAAGTTTAACTGTATTTAATCAAAGCTACTCTCGTATTTGGGTAAAATAAAGGTATGTACAGTTTTTGTTTTAGTTTGTGACTGTGTGTGTACGTGTGTGTGTGTGTATATGTGTATATATATATATGACCAATTAAGATTGTCATAGTTTTCCTTTTCTATTAATAGAGAACCCTTGTCACTACAAATTCCATTAAACTGAATTAGATTTACCATAACTGAAGTGTCAGATCCTGATATTCTTATCCGTGTAGCTTTGTTCCGACTTTGAGCACACTGTATGGATAAATTGTATTCATTATGATATTTGATATTAAAATCTGTTCACGAATTTGAGAGCTAACAAGGATAGGGAGAAGCTGTGGGTTGCCTTGCTGTGGAGGGACTGAAGCTTCACTTACAACGCAATCAGTTCTGTGTGTATTTTAGGATTGCTTATAAATCTTTCTAATCAGAAATTTTGTATCTCTTGGTAGGTTGCCTCTTTGAAATATTAACAAGTTGATCCTTGTTCTCTTACCTTGCTAGATTATTTCTTTTTCTTAAATCTGATTAATCTTCTTCTTAAGCTGAGTAGGAAGAATAAGAGGAAGATCTTGAAGATAACATGAAATCCAGGAGAGTATTCTTAATCAAATTCATATGAATTGATAAAGCTGCAAGTAAAAAAGTATCAGTTTGAAGATCTCCTTTCAATGGTTTCAAAAGAGGCTGTAGATTAAGAGTGAACAGTTTAGTTATCACGAGAGATATCACTCCAAGATATACTTAAACCTTTTACAAGGCTGTTGCATTGAAAATTTGGTAGGTTTATGAGCATGTAATAGTAAAGTTGCTGACATAGCAGTATGCAGATGAAAACTGAATGGCTTTTGAGTCATCTGAAAGAGATCATACTTATTTTGCTTTACCTTCAAGCCTGAAAATAAGATCTATTAAGAGGGCAATTTTATTTTCCATATCACATAGTTGTAAGCCTCTGATATCTTCTGAGTCCCAGTTAGCTTTGGCAAGAGGTTTGATGAGAGATCAAGCAGAACTCAAGACAACTTTCTTGTCCCATTATCTGATACAAGCCAGAATGAATACTCCTCCTCTTTTTATAATTGAAGGTCTTGGTTGTCCAGAGTAATTTTATAACAGTAAGCTATAGTCCAGCGTTTGCATCTGACAATTGGTTTCTGCTAAAAACAAATGATTTTTGTGTTGTACAAATTCTGAATCAACCTAAATCTTGTGAGTGATCAAGATTTCTTCTCTCAGTATTTGACTAATTTGGATGAATAGTAGAAGGAAGAACGGTGTGTGCATTAGCAGAAATTTTTCATGCATTAAAGAAATGAAGTAGAAGGACTTAGTGTTCAGGACTTTTAAAAATAATTTCACAAAATTATGCTAAAAGAATTCCATAACCCTATACCTGTGAAAAATGTGAACAACAACTAGAGATTTGTTTTGGGTTTAGTGGCTTTTCTTTTTCTTTTTTTTTTTTTAAACCCTCTAAGACTGGAATAAGTTCATCTAGTTCTACTACTCTAAGCAGGAAGTTTGTAAGGCAGTTTGTGATCCTGTGCATTTTCCCCCCTCGAGTAAGACAGTTTGAGATGCGTATTAGAGATCTAGGAAATTATCTGGGATTATTTTTATTAGAAGAGTACCTAGTTAGCGAGTCTGCAAATGTAACTTAAGAGATGGTGCTTGATGTGTGCTCATCAGCTACTGATAAAATTCTGTTAAATGAAAGAA